AAAAATTGATTAGCGCATTCTTCCAGGACATTGGGCACCACCTATATATTTAAGAGATAACAACTTGTAGAACACACGAAGCAAGTGAAGTTATTGTTTCTTTTCTCTTTGGAACATGAAAAATCAAACCCGACATCTTTTTCTATATTTTCATCATCTTAACAGAAATAAACGACAGGTTTTTATTGGCAGCTTTTCCTTGTACGACATATAAACAAAAAAAATTATGTAAATAATAATAATAAAATAAACTTTGCAAAAATAATGTAGTAGCAAGTTAAGAATAAAAGATTAAACAATAAATACGAAATAACAGTTTCGTCTTCATTATAAGCATTTTTTATTACCAGTTACAACTTTTACAGTAAGGAAGAATATACTTAAAACAAGTACGACGTTTCGATTACTGGTGCGATTTTGATCGAGACGTTGTACTTGTTTTAAAAATATTCTTCCTTACTGTAAATACTATAAATACGAAAGTTTTAAGATGCGACTATGAACTAAAGCATTGGTAGTAACACCCTTCAATATATCTTACTAGCGCCCTCTAGTCCTATAAATATTCTTCCTTACTGTAAATACGAAAGTTTTAAGATGCCACTATGAACTAAAGCATTGGTAGTAACACCCTTCAATATATCTTACTAGCGCCCTCTAGTCCTAAAAATATTCTTCCTTATAGTAAATACTATAAATACGAAAGTTTTAAGATGCGACTATGACTAAAGCATTGGTAGTAACACCCTTCAATATATCTTACTAGCGCCCTCTAGTCCTATAAATGTAAACAAAAATATCAGAAAATGATATAAAATAAGAGTTATACGCAATTAGATAATCTTTGTTTATAATGTTTCGAGTTTAGAAAGAGGTCGATTATAGGTTCTTTTTAACTCTCATATTATCGTCTTGTTCTAATACTAGTACAGTCCAATATTGGTACCTATTGCAACAAAATTGGGTGAAACCACTGATCTTCTAAATTAGATAATGGGTTGACCCAGGCAATAATTAGTTGCTATATTGTTATTAGGGACCTTGCAACTAAGAAACTTATGGATCCACAAGCAAGTTAATACATAAAAAAAACGTATTTAAAAAGTCCATTTTATGTTATATCTCCAAGGGGGGTTGTTGCACAGTTACACTTATGATATGCTTCAAAACTCATTTACAAATTAATTCTCAATAAAAAGATTGACTGGACAATCTGTCTAGAGCCCTTGGGAGTGGAACAAGGTTTCGATAGACTCGTGAAGACTTCAACAGATTCTATCGGAAACGTCTTTCATGCAATGTTTAACTGGGCTTACGAATTTTCACGCTCGAGCGGTCAATCATACTTTCGCGTATCGAACGTTTCACCCCTCCCAGTTCGACTTTGACAAGTTTCGAAACTCTAGTTTGCAGAACAGCTAAAAGTAGATATCAAGATATACCAGATGTACAGGAGTGGAAAACATCAACAAAGTGCTAACTGTGCTTATCAGTGGAACACAGGGAGGGAATGGGGGGAACAGCGTCACGTTAAGTACGATGATATATTTCACAAACAGATACCTATCACTTAGAGATTCAGGTATCGTGACAGTGAGCTCTTAGAAGTTCAACAACGTTGTGAATTTCAAGATTTCACTGTCGTTAAGAGACTGATTGTACTTTAGGTATTTTGAACCTTAACATAATGAGATTTTGTGACCACGCGATCAAAGTTTCAAACGTGGTTGACGAAAGAAGCACACATTCCCATTTATCTTTCCCGGTTTAAATTGCAGCCCGAGTCCTCGAGGAAAAACAAAAGTACTCGCATGTATCGACTAAAACAATTACCACATGTGCATTCTTAAACTGGAGGAAAAAAGGAAAATCAGTGAACCAATCTTCTGTTTAAAAACCTTTTGCTTATACATATTCCAAACTTAATAGAGAGTAAGAACAACAGAATGTTACCATTACTACTAAAAATAAACACATTACTTGCGTTTTTTGTGCTTGACTACTTTAGTCCGGGCTGCGCATCGAACCTTAGGGCCTTTAATATGGCCACTTAGCCAGGGCCGCAAATAGGGGGGGGGGGGTGTCAGCGACAGGTCTGAGGGCTTATTACGTTCAAAATCGTGTTTCCATACCAGCAATGGCCATAGCACAGATAGCCCATCGTGATGCTTTGTGCGCAACAATAAATAAACAAACGCCTTGGTTTGGGATCACATTAGAAACAAGGTTAATATGGCAAAGCATCGATCGTCATATCGCTGAAATGTCAACGTTTATTTCATATAAACAAAACCCTGCTTTTTTTTTTGGTAAGAATTTATAAGCTTGAAACTTTCGTTAATGCAAAATATCACTTTTTTGAGTGCGATTATCTTGAGAATGAAGAGAAGTAAAACCACCGAACCTATTAAAAAGTATTTATATGTTCGCAGATGACAAATAAAACATATTTCTTCTACTTGAAAACTAAAGCAGTAAAATATTGTATGAATATCCTTCAGAGAAATCCTTTGCCGAGCACGTGTTTCTAAATTATTTCCGTTTATCTCTCTAATTAAATAAGACATGCGTTACTCTCGACAGCAAGAAATATATAATATATATACAATTATATCACGAATAGTACGTAATAATAGAGGGCACCACAACAAAGTTACCGTAAATACAAAATCTGACTGAATGCGTTTCTTCCATAGTTTCAAACAAGCCAGCCAGCCAGCAGATGTTCGATACAATAATCTGATAAATACTTCCGACACTTACGTTCGAGTTTTTCAATCCATCATCTTCAAACCATTGTCTTTCCCTGAACGACTACATAAGTAGAAGATCTAAAAGTAGCAAGTTCTATATTTAGTATTCACCGACAGTCTGAAATTCTCGAAAACATATGGAAGACTCGCTCTCCGAACCTTGGGGTTTTAACGCGTTTTCTCGTGTTCAATTTGTTTGCAGGTGTAATTTGGACTTTAGTTGTTTGCAAGATAAATGTCCGTAAAATTATCATTCACACCTATGAAACGATAAACATCCATATAAAATTGCAAACACACACACTGTTAACTTTTACACTTGTTTTCTACGTACATATTGATGACGTCACTTTATTTTGAATTTCGCAGCAAGGCTACACGAGAATTATCAGCGTTAGCCGTCCCTACTTTAGCAGTGAAAGACTAGTCACTAGAGGGAAGGCAGCTCTTGGGCTACTCTTTTACCAACGAATAGTAATTCTGACCATCACATTATAATGCCCCCACAGCTGAAAGAGCGAGCAATAGCACATTCGGTGTGACCGGGGGGTTTCGAACTCACGACCCTCAGTTTGCGAGTCGAGCGCATTAATCACCAGGTTCCAACGTCACAGTGAATGCCTCATAATCAGCTATAAACAGTTAAATGTATTAATTTTAATTGATAAAAATTAGTTTTCTTACACAGAGCAAGTATTGTATATTCATGTCTTATTTACAGTGATTAAATTAATAATGATTCTGTTATTTATGTAGAGATTACATTTTGCAATATTTTATTAAACAAAATTATCAAAAACTTAACAGCTATCAACATTTTCAAAAATTTGATATAAACTAAAAAATAAGGTATTAACTACAGAAAACTATTTCCATAGAACTGCTAAATGATAATCATTCACTGTATGAAAGTTAGAATAAACCCCTTTTGGCAAGTGTTTATCTTCTGCTTAGTCCTGTTCTACATATCTAGGACACTTACAATTATCAATTACCATAAGCATGAAGTTTTTTTTACTGTTAAAATCCAACGTATAATTTTTTAATTTAAAAACTGAATTTTTAAAGCTGCAACAACCTCTACATTACTATTTGTCTTGAAGCTGCTGAGCTTTAAAAGGTTCTCAATTAAGTTTCAAATAATGTAAAATGTTTGCAAATAAAACAATATATATTTTAAACTTTTAATGAAAAGAAGACAAACTTTAAAATGTTCAATAATTGGTATAATAAATACACTTACAATCAGTGTGGGGTTTATAGAATTAAGTTGCTTCCATTAATTAACAAAGCAATATTTCCTTTCTTCTAATTGGCATATTTATTATTCACAGTAAAGTGATGAAATATTCCAGATCTGCTGTTTTCAGCTATGCTGCATGTCTAGTGTCAATAATAAATAACAATATTATCAATGACACTTGTGGCAGCTTCTTTTGCTCTGGAGGAGAGCACTGCTGTGGATTGGAATCTTGTTATATAATTATAATAGCTCTTTGGGTTTATATTTCACATGGTTTGAATAAATTTTTTTTTCTGAAGAAAAATGCATAGACTCCATTAACTATTTTTTGACATAAATATTAAAATATAATTATAATGACAAGCCTTGACTACAACACTGTTACTTAACCACTCACCACTTTCTGATGTATTCTAGAACCAGTATAGTAATAAAACTGCATTTTGTTAAAGTATTTGTTTTCTAAACATTTATGATTAAATGAGCATAGTTGTATTTTACAACTATCAACATTACATAGTTGTATTTTTATAACTCATGCTCAACAAAGTTCGTTTATTCCTAATGTTTTTAATAATTTTGAAATTTCAATCTCCAAATATTTGTCATATAGAAATAAATCACTTAAAGATATTAAATAAACAATGTTGAATGGATAATATGAAATAAGAAAACATTTTCAAATTGTGTAAAATCATTTGTAAAATAAAAAACAAAACAGTAAAATTTGTAAAAAATGTTTCTGAAAAGTTATAATTTCTAGTGAATTTTTCTTATATTTTGGCTTAATAGATCAAGAATTAAAATATTCATTTTTATAAAACAAATTTATAAAGTATCAAAATACATATTAAGATAAATTTGTTTACTGTGCTGTTAAATGTTTTCTAGAAATGGGTTTGTAAAGGAGACAAATAGGTCAAGTGTGTATTATAAAACCTTTAGTACTATTTTTGATATATAACAGAACCTTTTCTTTCTCTTTTGTAAGTAAATATGCCTACCTTGTCATGAACAACTGCATTTTACAAAGAAAAAATGGAAGCCCATCTGAAGACTCAAAGTTTCTCTAGCAAAATTATCTTGAAATGAGCTGCAAATTAAAATCAAACAAGAATATGTGTAAATTTATATATTTAGTTTGTTTTCCTTTATAACCAATATTGTATTTTAAAATTCACTGCATAAATCACTAGGCATTACTTGTGATTATATTCTAAATTTCTATTTTGTTATTTAACTTATATATATATATATATATATATATATATATAGATAGATATATATACACTAGTAAAATGTGTTATTTATAGCTTATATATAAATATACCAGTAAAATGTTTTATTTATTGGTTAAATGCTAAAATTATTATTTCTTTAAAAAAACATTAAATACAACAATCACTGCTATAGCCTTTGCTACTGATGTTGAATTTTGTAAGCTAAAGGCTTAGTTCAATCATTAAGGTTTTAATTCAGATATAATTTTTTACTGATAAAAGTAAAGGAAATATCAATGGATATCAAACTTTTATTTGTGTCCTATAATGGTACTGCAATACAGTTTTTATTAATATAAACCCACCACCATGGCATAATTTTCACTAATGGGAACAAAGATATTGACAAACTATATTTAAAGCATTATTTGAAGCATTTAATCACTAATTAAAGTTTTTTTTCATTTGCAGAGAGTTGTTTGCAACAGTATTATCCATTTCTTTTGGATTTACAATGTGTTTAACTGAATGTTTTCCCTATTTATAGAAGTAGTCTGCACTCAAGGTTTCAGTATGCTTGATAATTTTGGTTATCAACTATCATTTGGAGCTTGTGGCAATTGATTACATCAGGCTGCAATCAATGATCTGCATTGGCTTGATAACCATTCACTTTATCTTACTTTTACAACCTGTGAAATATTAAATTTTAAAGTACCTGTAAGAATGAATAATAGATAAAAAAAATTTCCAGTTTATGATGTCTTCCTTTTTCAGTAAGTTCATATTAACAAAGTTCCTTTCTTTACAAGTTACATATGGTATCACTCATGTACGAGTTGCCTATCCTTATGGTATGATTGGTTTGACTTTGGTTTCAAATTTCACGCAAAGCTATTTCTTTGATGTTAATAAAGAAACTTGCACACTGACTACATTTAAATTTTTTTATAAAAGCACTATATATTTTTACAATGACTTATAATATCAATTATAATTATCAATAATAATCACTATTTGGCATGATGGCACATATATAAATCATTTTTGAAGCAAAAAAAGTGAATTTTAATTAACAAGTTACACTTTAGAACTAACTTCCTGAAACTTGCTATACCTTGAGCACAAAGAAACTAGATTTGATTCAATATTCTAGGGTTACAGATGTCACTTGGGAAATTAAATGCTGCTTAATATGCCAAAGATAAACAAATTAGAAAAGAATCTGGAAAGCAAACAGGAAAAAAAAATTACTGAAGAAGTAGGAAAAAATCCTATGAATGGAATGAGGGTGAGAATGAGGATCTCCAAACGGATCAGAACAATAACAGTCAAGCCTGATCAGCTCAGTCACTTAAGAAACTTTAAGCAGAGTGAGAGAGATACCATAAAAAAAAGAAATGGTAATAAACCATAACTCATCCATTTCATAATGGTAAGTCATAAACCTAGATAATTAAGCTATATAAAAAAATGCCTTCAAAGCCCTAGTGAAGAAGCAAAAAGGCATAGATTTAGGATGGGTCCAAGTAGGAGAACCCAAGATCTGACTAAAACAAGGAATAAACAAACCAGTACCCATCTTCATCATCCTGTAATCTTGAAAAATGCAGCAGAATAACTTGTGAGCCACATGATTTTGGATGGAGTTATTGAGGCATGAAGCAATTCAAAGACCACCAGATGGTAGGAAATCTTGGATGACCTCAAAGAAGAATGCATAAAATCAATGGCAGGTACAGAGTTAAAAACAGGGACCTTGAAAAGAGAACTGCCAGCCATTGCATTAGAAACTGGGCTACCTGAATGACACTACTTGTGTGTGGCCTGACATAATAAATACCCATTTCCTGTACAAGAAAATAATCTTCTTTAAGATATATCAATTGATTAACACATTCCCATTATACTATTTTTAACATTTTCTAATAAGAAATGTGAACAAGTGTTTTAATGTTAACTGTAAATGATAATATATAAACGACAAAGATAAATCTTAAAGCTTAATACAGTTGATTTGGTTTTGAATCACTACAATTAATTACAAGCTCATTATTTTCACATTACAATTACTATAATAACAGTTAAATAACTGAACTGATTAAAAAAATAAATGTTTCATTTATGAACAAATTAATGAAAGCACTCTAACACCAATAAAAAATACTAACTGACATTTTGACAACAGAAGGAAAATGAAAACGAGTAAAGCAAAAAAGTAAACGGAAGCCCAAAGACAACAGTCTCAATGTAATGAATATGCTTATGATTTAATATCCCAGCTCTGGTTAAAAAGTACAAACTAGAAATTAGAACTGGAATTGAAACTGAGCTCTGAAGTCATTCTCCAGTCAACAGCTAAAAACTTGATTAATCAATATAACAGATTACCTATGAGCATAGATTACATGAATTAATTTCACACAAAATAAATTGTTAATAAAAATTACAATTAATCATCACAAAAATTGTCAACTATTTTAATTGAGATTAGTATTTCCAATTATTAGTTTTTGATTATTCTGACTATCTAAGTAATCAAAATATTGTCATTATGATTTTTGATTATTTCAAGATTGTTAAACTTAATTGATTAGTGGCATGATTCGTGAAAAATAATCAACTAATTGAAATTAGTGTTTCCAATTATTACTATTCTCAATTATTTCAGCTGTCCAAGTCTCATGTGAGAATAATCAATTATCAAAATTCTACTAATCATCCATCTCTACTGGTGATAAGAAAGTCACATATATCTGCAAGTGAGAGAAAGTCCAAATACCTTATCATAAAAGAGAGAGAGAAAATAAAACAATCTTCCATTCTCTAAGAAAACTCAGAAGCTATTCTTGACAACTAAAAGGCCACTGGAATATGTATCAAAAGAACATATCACCTCATCTGCAATTCTATTCAATGATGAACATTGAGGAAGCACTTTAAAATAAATTTCAAAAGCAGGGATACAACTTTGAAAATAACAAACTTCCTCAAGGTCACTAGCTGAAGGAATCAAATTGGTCTTGTTAGCTGGAAGGAAGGCCTGAAAGAAGCTAGACCAAGATCTCAGAAAATGCCTCCTGAATCTTGAGAAGCTGATAACTTGTACAACCATCAAGGTTAATTACCTACCTAGAAGCATCCCGACGACCAACCACATGTGAATCTAAAGCTACACCTTTATGGATATTGGAAGAAGCAAGAAACTTACCATGCGTATGAAAGACCATGTTCGCGTTTGTTTGGATGTCGATACTAACAGCTATATGTGTAGAAGTTTAAAGAAGCATCTAGTGTTTAATAACACACACAATAAATCAGAATATCACAAAGAATTTAATAAGAAAACAGCCACTGTGTTATTTTAACATGTTTTTGAGATTAGCATTTTACATCAGATGGCATATTAGCATTTTAAAGAAAATGACAATAGAAGATATAACACACACAATCAAAAAACTATCCAACAGTATATTTTCAGTGATATTTTTCAAAACACAACAGACACTAAGACACAAAAAAGCAGACCATTACTCTGCCTCTTCTTATTTATATTTCTCTGATATTTGCCAAAAACTACTGCTTATTTTCCACAAACATTAGTCAGCCTTCAACTGGTACTTTTTTGCACTTAATAAATCATACAGCTTACAAATTATACTTGTGAATACTTTCTCCTGCAAATTATAAAGGGTCTTTTTTTTTTTACATTTTATTTAGCACATCTTTCACTAATGTTTGGTGAGAATCCAATATCTTCAATAATACAAGATCTTTGTCAGCATGTAATGGTAATGATACTGACATGTAATATGTGTGCTGCATAAAATTCTATATACTGTTCCCAATCCTATTTTCCTGTATTACTATTAGACTTAGACCTTGTATGGTCTGCATCACGATACAGATTAAAATGTAATTTAAGTTAAACTTTAAAGATGAGACCTTGCTGTCTAATTATTAGGAAATATTTAAAGCCAACATGTATCTTTTGACTAAAATTCCTGAGATACAAACCTAACTAATCTTAAAGTTTATACTTATATTTGAAATATCATTTCATTAATATTTTATTTGTGATATTAATAATAAAGCTAAAAATAAGACCTAAACATACCAACTGCTGATTCAATGCACGTTACAACTGAATTAAAGTATTGTACTTTTAAATATAACTACATGTTATTATGCTAATAAATGTCTAATGTAAATAATTTACTAACTGATTTTCGACCTTTAAAGATAAAGTATGATTATAATAATTAATAATATAAAATCTCCAAGTAATAACAAAATAACATGTTGCCACTGTTTCACTTAGGCTTACAAAACTGTTCAGAAGAAAAAATAATATTTCTTCGTAACAATTAATCTCTGTGACAAAACTTATTGCTTTAACAAACAAATATGAAAACTGGAAAATTATTATTTTAATACTTACATAGTGTAATTTAGTTTCTTAGACAAACTGTTTCTTTTTGTAGAATTTTACTACCAAAAAAAGTTTACGCCATGCTAAAACGCGTGGTCATGGATGCTAAGCGCCCTGTGTACGTCGACAACGCTGGCAGTTTAGTTTGGGCTTTTAACTCCCTATTTACTATTAAAATTAGACGAAACTAACAACTGCAAAATGTAATTTTATAATATGCATTTTACATGTATTTTTAGTTTAATATATAAATTTTTACACATAAATATTACATTATTCTTCGTAAATGAAGTTACTGCATGAAAATAAAATAGAAATAGTTTAGACAATATCTGTAATAGCCTATGAATACAGAAACACGTACTTCCTGTTTAAACGTCACTTCCGGAAACATGAGCCAAGCAACAGTATTCCATTGAGGTCAGCAAGAGGTGGTTTTGGTATACAGGCGAAACAGCATAGATAAGATATTCGCGTGTACAGGTATTTCAGTCCTTTCGTATGTTTGAGTCAACACTCAGGAGCGTAGGAAGTGATCGCGAATTGTTTTTCTTGTTTATTTTTTCTTTTTGGTGTTGTTTTTGCACTTCATGCACGAAATTATACTAGCTCTAACTTTCAAATGTAACTAGTGTGTTATATAATTTTCCTTTATATATATATGTATGTGTGTGTGTGTGTGTGTATCATATCAATAGCCTTTTTTTATCTTAAAATTATACTAACGACTTAATCTTTATGGAAAAATATTAACTTAAAATATGAATTTCTCATATTAAAAAGTATATGTGTAATGTAAATGTTAGGAGAAACATATATTAAACTGATCATCCTCAAAGAATAAATAAAATAGATCCTCTATATAAAGGGAGATTCGACTTGGAAATATTACAAAGTAGCTCTGAATTTCTCTGAAAGTAATTAATTTTGTGCAAAGAAAGAGACTGGGCACAAACGTAAATATACAGTGAAAACAATTTTTGTTGTGTAACAAATACAACAGTGTCTAGATTAGCACAAAGAACAAATGGGGTTGTTGGAGAACTGAATACTGTTTTAAGCTATATTTTCAATGTTTAAAATTAGATGTTTACTAGAGGGAGCTCCTAAAATAACGACACTAGGTTTAGAAAGTTTATAAAAGGAGGCCTAGAATACCTAGACTGTTCGTGAATGCTAATGATCGAGATATTTGCGAAATATCTAAAAACAAGGATCACTAAGAACGAGAATCACTGAAGCATTAAAATGAGTTCAACTAGTTCAGTGACTGAGTAGTTAGTGAAGTATTCAGATCAGTGCTAGGTATCGTGTATGTTCAGTTATTCTATCGATTAACCGTGAAATTGTACAAGTTTGTTTGTATGTTCTTCATATTACCATTAGCGAGGAATTTCCGTTGAAATGTTATTTGTGAAATTACCTATAAAAATTGGTGTCAAGGTTCACATAGACTGAAGAAACACTGTAAAAGAACTAAATTAATTAATTATCAGTACATGGGCTTGATTGTTTATTATTTTTGCCAAGTGATTCAAAAGTTTTGTTTGGTTGTTTGTAGTTAAGCACAAAGCTACACAAAGGGCTATCTGTACTCTGTCCATCACGGGTATTGAAATCCTGTTACTAGTGTTGTAAGTCTGCCGACATACTGATAAACCACTTGGGGGACATGTGATTCAAAAGCACCTGCCTAACATTGAGAACATGTTACAACAAGTGGCGTCAAAAGTGGATTTATCTTTGCGAGGATAAAATTAAAATACATCTTTGGTTAATTTCAGTATAACAACCTTATCATGAAGCAAAATTGAATATTTTCTAGAAATTATGTAATAATTAGAGGAAGTTCAAGAAGAAAGACACTAAAAATGAGAAGAATGAGGTAGAAAATTAAAAGAAAACCAATAAGAAAATGATAGAAAATTAGTATAAAAAAAAAGATAGAAAAATAAAAGAGGATCAGGAAAGAATTTATAGAAAAGTAAAAAAGATCATGAGGTAAGAAACAGAAATTTAAAAGAAGAACTGAATTCAAAAGATGTTTTACTTGAGGATGAATTAAAATAAAAAACAAATATAATCCAAGACAAGAGAGAGAGATTCCAACAACAAGATTGGAGAAATTGAGAAATGCTGTAATGTCTAAACTGAAGCAGTACAGAAAGGCTGTAATGACAAAATTGATACAAAAAGAAATCAATGACAGAATAAAACATTTGGAAAATGAATTGATAAATGCAAAAACCAAACCAGCTACACCTCTTTCTGCATTTGCCCAAGAATTCCAACATAAAACCCAATTTCTACGAAATATGGAATATAACAACCTATTTTGTCTACTCCTATTACCAATACTGCTGTGCCATCTGTTACTGCAGGTCTCCCTGGACTACTTCAGCCATGTCACTACCAAATCCAGCTCCGTTCCAGTATTTAGGTGGCTAATTTCAAAATGTTGTTTAATAGAGAAACAAATGGACTATGATGGAAAGGTACCATGGTAGGCACATCGGACTCAGTTCAAAATAAGTTTCAAGGTGAATGGATGGAATAGTGAGCAACAAGCCATTAACCTTGTTGCCCTTTGAAAATGAACAGCGTTAACAACCTTAAATAACCTTTCAGTTGAGAGCTGTAACAACTATCAAGAACTGGTAGCTGCCTTACCCAACATATTCAGAATAACACATTAGAAAGAGGTATGCAGTGCAAAGTTTCTGAACAAGTTACATAAGAAGGAAGATACCTTGCCAAACTTTCAGAAGATTTAGAAAGGTTTGTTCAATTATCTTACCTGGATGCTCCACGTGAAATGATGGATTAATCGTCTAGTGAATAATTTATAGACCCCATAACAGATGAGGATATGAAAATTAGCCTAAAGCAAAGCAGATGTACATCTTTAAAGGAACCTCTTCAGTTAGCATTGGACCTGGAATCAATTAAAGTCACAAATAAACAACTAAAGACACCATCTCGACGTTTCTGGATCGTCAAATTACTGATGATAGTCTAGACTAAATGAAATGATTACTTAGATAACTAGTTACATAGAATGGATGAAATAAACCACAAGACAGTTGTGTTTCAAAATGACATATTACCAGAAAGTATAGACAAAACATGTCGGGAAAAACTCCTCTCAAAAGGGAAACATGTGCATTATAGCTGAGGCTTTAAGGTAACAACAGCTGTTAATTCACTAAGGAGACAATTCAGGTGAGAATACCCAACCTGCCCAAAATGAGGTAAGAAGTTCATTATTGAAAGAAACCAGTCCATGGATTTGTCAATGGGAAATGTTGCAGTATATTGCTCAACATTGGTTCTACAACTACAATAGATCGACCTGATTTGATAATGAAAGGTAGAAAATTGCCTTCAGAAATGATAAAAAAAAAAGATGGAGTGATGCAAACAGAAAGTTGATATAAAGTTTCAGCAAAGGGGGAATTGAGAGTTACCCTTACTGTATGAAGCTTCTATACACCTGCGGGGTTAGACTATCTTTAATATTTCCAGTGACAACAAGAAGAGCAATCATTGTAACACCAGTAAGTGAAATAATTATACATCTTCAACTAGTAAGTAGGCTGTAATAGAGCCAAACACTGTCAGATTAATGATTGGAAGAACTATAGTGTATCTAAAGAATAAATACGTCATCATTAGGGCCATGAACATAAAGAACTATAAAATTTGAATCGAGGCAGGATGGGATATTGCAAGTACTTTCAACATCTGTAGTAATCACCTCTGAGGTAAGATGAGGAAGTCTGATATCAATTCCAAGTACAATTTACCACCACACTTACAAAAGCTATTTGACCAGAGCTGTGGGTATCATACATCTGATAACTGCCATAGCTAATATAACTCCCACAGAATATCAAAACACTTTCTCCAGTGGGCCTAATGATTTGGGTTGAACAAATAAAATATCTCATAAGGTTGATACTGGAGATTCAGCTCAATATGTCAGCCAGACAGCTCCCATTTGCAAAGCAGATTGAGGCTTTCAATGAGATAGAAGCCATAGGAAACAGGAGGTGATAGAATAGATTATTAGTCCTTGGACATCACTTACTTGTGAATGCTTAAAATGTACTGCCTCCATATCATCTGCAACTACTTCTAGTAATCTTCTTGTGTTACCTCCCACAAAATCATTTTTTACAGCTGCAGTACTATAACGTCATGCTTACTATGAGTAATCAAACTCAAGAAGTTTTCTTTTCAGGCATCAGAGAATAAATATCTGCTGGCAGAATTCAACAAAACTAAAGATTTTCAGCTAAAATTCTCACCACACAGTATTATTCTTCATGCTGTCACTGCATGTGGATAAGTCATACTTTCTTCAGTTGTATGGGTGAAAATCTAGCCAAGGATCAGATGGCATGTTCTGTAGAACTTTTGCCACTCAGCTAGATCAGGTGAATGATTCTTTCAAAACATTGAATGACATTTTACCTCAGAAAATCATTTGGTAGACCAGATAGCAAGAAACACTATTTCCTTTCAGTCATTGTTTTTTTATCACACGACTATCCTAGGTGTATAATATTCTTGCAGCTATCACTTTATATCTAGCGAATCTTTCTCAATGAGATTATGATTAACACCTTGGAAGGCAAGGGCCACAAATCTTTTTCATTCATTTCTGGCTAAACCTAATGACCACTCTTGCTCCAGGATAAATGAGTGGTTATCATACAATGTAGTGCATATATTATACTATAAAATAATACCTACTTTCTTAGAAAGCGAGACCATCAGTTTTCGAACTCCTATCTATCATATTCAGTTATGCAGGTGTTGATGTACTAGGTATTACAGTACATGAGACAGCATCCTTATATTTCTCTGACTTTCTAGTTTTGAAATCTGATTCCTAGTCAAGCAAGTGCTTGAAATGTTGCCTGTAATGCATAGATGCAACATTTTGACGTGTTATACACACACTTTTGCAAGTTTTACATTCGCTATATCTCATATGTCAATGGACTGATCTGCCAGAAAACGTGGTATGGACCTATCCAATCAGAACCTAGTTGCTTTCATGCTTCAGTTACACCCAGTCTTTTTACT